GTGTGTGTGTGTGTGTGTGTGTGTGTGTGTGTGTGTGTGTGTGTGTGTGTGTGTGTGTGTGTGTGTGTGTGTGTGTGTGTGTGTGTTGCGCTTGAAATATTGCAATAATATTGCGTAAATGTTATCGCGTGCGCTATTTCTGTCTTATTGCTTTATTCTTGAGTTTTCACAGTTTAACTATAAACCTAGTGAATTCCCCTGTGTTGTGGTTTCCCGACTACACTATATATTTATAGCATTTTACATGGATGTATGGGGATTTTATGGCATATAATAATATCTACCTATTATAAGGAACGTGGATTAAATCTCGAGCATGGATGCACAGAGTCGTGTGGATCTTCTGTTTGTTATTACGGGGAGCGAACATCTTTCCTGTACTGATGTACAGGCGTAAATACATTACGATGAGGCTGCTGTACGGGCGATCAAACTGCCTGAGGTTATAAATGCCTGTGAGCCGACTGTCATTGGCATGCATTGCTGCAGTACAATGTTTACGGATCAGTGCTCCCGAATATAAGTGACCAGCATACCCGGACCCAGTTATACTACACGAGGGATCGGGCGCGAAGCGAGTCCCATCTGATCTGATCTCAGTGATCGCAGTAAACACGCAGCCATGCGTTTCCAAGAACATCCGGAACAAAATTGACATCTTCCTGTGTAAAGCGTGTCGTCACAGAACGTACGATAATAAAGAAGGAATTGCGCAAGAGATCGCTTTACGACGACGTTGCCGCACCCCACATCCATCCATATAATCGCACGCCAGTAGGTCTACGCATTTTCATCGACCATAATTTTTATCCTGACTGTCGATCCGCACACAAGGGTGAAGGCAGACTTCACGTTGGCGTGTCAGGTTCAGAATAGAAAACGCTGCAGCAGCTGCTGCCCCCCTTGCCCCCCCCCCTGCTAGCTACGACCCTGTAACTATTTGCGGCTGTTCTGGTTGTGGTTAGCGGTTGCGTTTCAATTTCTTTGTACGTAATAAAGTGCACAACAAAGCGAAAATAACAATTTAACTTAATGCATCCATTTTATGTTTTATATCCCAAAGCTACAATGGTATTTCAAACACCTCTACTAACTATTGCAGCACTACTATAATGTGCGTCAAAAGAAACCGCAGAACGAGTTATCTTATTAACGATTTTCCAAATTTCTGAGAGTAATGCGATCTGGTGATTAAGTTTTCTTTGGGTTTATATTTAAAGTGTACGTAAACTAATCAAGTCCAGGCAGATAAAACGTCCATTAAAAACCATATGAAGGCAGACTAAACAGACTAAACAGTGGCGGAGAATGTAGCTCGGAGAAATCAACTGCCTGCACTGCTTCACTGGGGCCGTACATACGTACTTGTGTTTACCCTATGTCAGTTTGGCTTGACAGTTTTTATGATATGACATTGCAGACACGACTTGCTTGATGAGGATAATCGGGTGGGTGTCGTGCGGGGAGAGGCTAATCATATAAGTCCCATATATCACCCCCATAATACCGCGTCGAACGCTCTAAACCGCTAGTATAAAAATTTCACAAATCTTATCAAGAGCTAATAATAATAGGTATTATTAATTCTGGATCTTATGAACTATCATAATAGTGTGCGTCAGTGTCTCAATCTGGAAAGCTACCTATATATAGTCTGAGCGAAGACAAATACGTCCGAAAAAACAAGGATAAAATCCTGAAATTATTGACATTGATTCATAATAGCTACTGATGTCGACATAATAGTAGTATATATATATATATATATATATATATATATATATATATATATATATATATATATATATATATATATATATATATTTATATATATATATATATTAATATATACATATATATATATATACATATATACATTGTATTATTGACCGACCATTCATTTATTAAACATGTGACACAATTGCATATGTTTCGCCTTTCGTCTCGACACAATAGTTTTAATATTGAAAACTTTTTGCTGCGGCAATTTTGTCTGCTCGCCTGATAATCGTACGCCTCTCCCAACTATCATTCACCCACGTAATTACAAGAGCGTATAAAGAAATATATTCCTTCTTTATACGCTTTTGGTAATTACCATGCTTGCACTATACACGCACAGTCAGGAATTGGCAAAGGGGTTACGTACGTGGGATGTGGGGAAAAAGTGGGAAAGGATGGACAGGCAGAGTGTGGCGTGATGTGGAGCTATTAGAGGAGTATAAATCGACGTTGTTAGGTGGGGACACTTATCTAGCAATAGTTTTCCTTCTACTATGCCTCCTCTTCTACATCCTCAAACACGTACCCTACATCACCTTCATTTTGCCTTCATCAAGGCTATTCCCCGAGAAGTATCCTAAATATAGCTAGCAAGTGTAATCCACACGTACAGAATCTGTCCAGCGATGACTGAAATCTTTATCGGCTTAAACAAAGAATAGTTTGCTTTTCGATGGGGGTTAACTTTATCCCGTATATGCTGCTGCCGTTAATTAAGTATGGATTCCGCGCCAGATTGGTACCCTTTCTTTATGCTTTCGGAAAGGATTGTTAAAAGTAAAAAAAAAAGGTAATTTCTTCCCTACAATACCAGCCTAGCTAAAGTTTACGAGTGCGCGCGTACGTAATTTATGTATTATTGTGTACTATTGTACGCGTGTATTATTTCGTGTGTGCGCGTACCTACCTTATTTCTTTGGTCGTGTCCTTCAATGTCCCTCATGTACGTTGTATTGGCGGATAAGCCGGCGAGCCAGCCATCTATGCTAACGTGTTTATAACATTTTTATATCTCTAATAGCAAACTATATATATAAATAATATAATATAATATAATATATATTATAAAACAGAGTGTTTATATTGCAGTGTATTTCTATACCATCGAGACAGGTTAGAGCGCTAGACACATAAATTAGTATAGTTTCCTCTTGTGGGGACGAGAATCCTTTACAGAAAACGGTCTCGGTTATAGCCCGCGGGGTTGTGCTTCAGGGTAGGCCACGTCAATGAACCAATGCCCAGTATATAAACAAAAAAGGCAGTGACTGCGGCCAGAACTACCAACAAATGCACGCTGCTTTCATGGCGTGTTGAAAATGAAAGCCAGGCTGCATGCACTGGGCGTGTACGTCGCTGGCATAGCATTAAATATATTTTTTCCACCGTCTTGAAAGATGATACACTTCATGGAGCAACGAGGTCTACTGTAGAACTGCGCCATACACGTGTTTTTCCCAAATAGCAACATGTGTAGGCTCCAACACTGCAGATTCGGGCTGTGTATCCGGACATGCTCTATTTTACACACTCCGACGTTTTTTACGATAGTTATGTTATGTAACTGCAAAACTCCTTTTTACTCGTAGCACGTGGTTTTTTTAGAATAAATCATTTTTAGAGCTGGATTGTCAGCACATCAAACAGCTTATTAATTATAGTTTGCTGCAGATCTATCGAACCATAATCCCGCAGATATTTCCCGCCATTTATTGATTGCCCGGTTGCAGTGTAGTTCACTCCGTAGTCTGTACGTATTTAAAACGTTGTACGCATACCCCTATTTGTTTTTTTTTTAAAAACTACACACGTTTGAAGTTGTGTTAAACCCCAATGGAATTGGCCCACAATGTGGCGGACTGCCAGTAAAAGATCGCGGGAAGGAATCCAGGTTTTCGTGTATTTTTACATTTCAAAGAATCCCTTTCTAGGTAAACATCAAGGAAATGAATATTTAGAGATAAGTGTATTTTATGAAATTTTTGGCTTTAAAAGTACCTAACGCCACGATCCCAATAGCTTGGTTGGTTGTGTGCCCCAACTTCTATACTGTCTGATATGTTTTGACTGTTGTGACATACCGATTATACTACATATCGGATTTTTGTTTTTGTACGATAGCCAGTGATATTCTTCCTCATTATACAGGTGAAGCTGCCCAGTGTTATGAGTGCCAGTACTCGAACCATCCTGGAGGGGACCTCGTCACAAAGCTACTGTCGGACACTTTCAGTAAGTGACTCGTCTTCAATATATATTAGTAGTTATATATAGCTATACAGAGCAGATCGAAGTATCCCAAATGTTAGACTGTACTGTATAGGCCGACAGTTTCCATCTAACTGTCTGTGCCAGCGTCAATTTTAAGAATGTAATGAAAATTAAAAACAAACATTAATTTTGAGCAAGAGAAGACCAGTAGGAAAGTCAAATTCGAATTCGTTTAGCGTTTCCGAAATACAGTATCAATGTGTTTTTCATGAATTTCACGACTTATTCGTAATATCGCGCAGCTAGAGCGATAGTGCTCATCTGAGGGAGAAAAGAAAGATGAGAGGGATAGGAAGATATAGATAGCGATAGCGGGAGTATTAGATAGCAATTACGAGAGATAGAGCTAGGTAGGGGGAAAGGAATCGATGGAGGGAGAGAGAGATGGAGGAGGGAGTGAGAGAGAGAGGAAACGAGAAAGAGAGAGAGGGGGAGTGAGATTGAGCGAGAGAGAGAGAGAGAGAGAGAGAGAGAGAGAGAGAGAGAGAGAGACCCGCCTTATTGAATTGGATCTTCGATTGGATATATCCTTGGCGTCTCGGGCAACCGAGCTCGATTAGGAGCGCTATTGTAATGCATTGAATATATTATGGTCAACTAGCTGCAATGCAGACGAAGCTGGTAAGAATTAATTCATGTGTAAACTTGTAAAACAATTAAGACATATGGCGCTGGTGCCTTCTTATACAGTGAAGCATTTGAGGTACGGAATGCATCTTATATAAATGATAAAACCTCATAAATCTAATATATTTGACTGTGAAATTGTAGCCTTTCACATCTACACAAGTATATATAGGCTCCACTAGTAAAAGAAGCTCAGTCCATTGTTAGCAGTAATTAACAAATCAACATTCAACCCACTCCTTCGGGGTGAAAACGTCACCACACATCTACTCTTTGCATTTTTTACAATGGGAAAATACATTGCATCAAGAGCGTATAAAGAAGGCCTTCTTTATACGCTCTTGATTGCATACATTCCACTTGGTCCATCAGTCCATTCAGACCATATCTTCCACAATTGTCGAAAATTCCACCCACTTTGCTTCAATGGCCTTTGACATGTGACCTAATATTTCCAAGATGAAGGCTTCTCTTACATATCAAAAGCAATCGTCAACCGTTCACATTTGTGCCGCAATTCTGTGATTCCTCAGTGCAGGTCCTATACCCTAAGTTAAGGGGGAGAATATTAACCCTCCGTTCACACCTCATGACCTTTAAGAGAAGTGGATTGTGCTGTTTCACTAATTGTATCAATTGTATCAGAGGGGAGAAGGTTGGGGCGGGTCTCAATGGGGTGGGGTGGGTCTCAATTGTGGTGGGGAGTGGGGTGGGGTGGGGTTGGGGCGGGTCTCAATTGTGTCTGCATGGTTGCGATATATACCGACTCACCCTTCGATGATCGTTCAGTGACTGTATCTATTCCGACCATCGGCTCGAGGACCTGCCTGTAGCCAGTAGCACAGACGGCCGCGCTGCGAACGCTGCGCAGCTTGCTCAATATAGTGCGAACCGCTCTTAACCATCACAGTCTCTTTATCTCCAATCTCTCGACAGATGGGCCGCATATTATTTCAATTTCTCCAGTGTTTAGAGACCAGGAGATTAGACATAGACAGGGGCGGATTCAGACCGTATTTGCCGTATTGGGAAATACGGTCTAGATTTCAAAGTGCCCTTCGAAATTTTGCGCTAAAAAATACAGAAAACAATTTGATGGAATTTGGCTATATTCTTTATTTGTTTTCTTTTTCTTCTGATTCATTGATAGGACTTGAAGGAAATAAAAATTTTACATGGTAACAAAACTAGCTTTGATATCTGAAAAAGAAGGGAAGTGCTTGAATCCTTCTGCATTAATTGCTGGTATGCAAAGCGCAGGCAAAATGCAGAAATAACATTCCATATGGTTTTTAGCTATTGCTGCTTGACTAAATGTGTGCTCAAATGGTGCTCATTTTTGTGCCCAGGAACCCTTGAAATTTGGAAATTTCTTGGGGGAGGCCCCCCAGACCCCCCGCCATGTGCTTCCGCGCCTAACGGCGCCCACTGTGGGGTGGTGTGCCCTTATTGGGGGATGTGCCCTTAAAATCTGGAAAAATACTGTCTAGCTTCAGCCCTGGATCCGCCTCTGCTAGACCATCCCGTCAATCCAAAACGAAACCCTCCCCCACAAGAAAACACTGCGCATGGGTGGGTGACACTTCCAGCGATTCTCGTAGTCACTACAATTTTATTCTCGAAATAATGATGGCGCATAACTTATAACACAGATCGCACCATTCCACCAATTACAACACCGCTTCCCTGCCCAGAAAATGGCTGTACTCGGTCCCCGACCTCTAATTTTTCTCCACCTAAATAAACCTACCTAAATAATTCCCCACCTAAAGCTACCTAGCTAAATAGTGGGAAGCGCATACCCTTAGCAGTCTGACTGCCGATTCCTCCTAAGAAGCTGAAGCGCATCACTAGCTTTTCCTCTGCTCGTGTGGTAGTCGTTCGAATAACCCTACCTCTTGATCTTCTCACTTGGGTATCACTCTTGGTGGTTACAGACCAATTGGTTACCATGTCTCTTTCTATAATGGTTTCCCTTCCTCGACCTGACACTGTAGTGTAACTACAACTATGCCAACTACGTGGGCGACTCCTACTTCTAGGTTTCCTTAGTCCCCATTACCCAGTGGGCACTACTGATAGTCCGATTTGACCTTGACATTGGCCATACCAGGTTCGTCCTTCCCAGGACTGAGTATATTGGGGTTTATTTTACACCTAATCTTTTGGGTCCAATAAAGCACACGATCTCACCAGACCCACTTATTATCAGGTTGTCACAGCTTGACCAGCCGACCGTGCTGGCCCCCTTTGCCCCCCCCCCCACCTGGCCTGACGTTTCAATTCTACACTACTCCCTGGCTAATACACGATGAAAAGCACATTGCATCAGCTCTTGGATTTCTGGTGAGTGAAGAAATCTTTCCACTGGGTATAGTTATCTCTCAACTTCGCTGGCTGCCTCCTCATCCTTATTCCATGCCGAAGCCCGTTTGCTACTTGCACGCTCTCTGGTTGCAATTCCTACGGTGGTGACAGAGAATCCATGGGTTGTTTATGTGCCGGTGTGCACTATTACAGCCTTTTATTGTCGGCATCATACCTGTGGCAGCCAGAATGCAGATGCTGGCTACCTCCCACTGGTTACAGTTATCCATCCTCTGCCACAGATGCGTTCCATATTGCGTTATGCTTCTGATGTATCAACTGGACCATCCATGCTGATGTAGTGATGAATATATGAATACCAATGATGTTGCCTGCCTTAATGATGGCCGTTGGATAAACCGCGTCGCTTTCTTCTTTCTTCTTGAGGTTAATGTGTTCGTACCATTCTAAAATGTATTCCGTTCACGCTGAATTATGTGTGCTCTTAATTATGTAGCTAATGTATTCTGGGTCCATCGCCGGGCGGGTCTCCGAACATTTGCATTACTAGTGTGCCAAATTCCCCATGTCTCTATCTCAACGCTAAAACGCCGTACTACACTGGGCTCGTTTTCTACCTCACTCATTGCTGGCTTGCTACCATATATCTGTGGCTGGTACTGGCAGAGGATTCTGCCTCCTGCGCTACTGGTCCTGAAAATGACTGGATTGGCTCTTCCACATACCAGCAGTTAACCTGATTAGCAGAGGCTGGTGTGCATCCTCAACTGATAGTACCAGCTTCCTGCCACTCCTAGAGTAAACGCTGACTCTAATACACATAGATGGGTTTGTATAGATGTTAAACTTCGATATCTCAATTGATTGACGTAGCCAGAAAAATTTTAATGATAATAACGGCAGTAGTCTTCTCCTCCGCACATGTGTTGGTCGTCTGCAAATCAAGCAACCTGGTCAATCGGTGCAATCGCTTAATTAGCCGTTGCTTAGCATGTGTAGCTTGCCGCTGCCTGCCATTGAGAGTGAAGCTCCCCTCTATTGAGTCAAGCAGGAGTATAGTGAACGGCATCGATGAGTGTAAAATGCCTACAGCCGTTCTTATGCGCACTGACACGTTTACTCCGCGACGTTTCCTTGGTGGCCAATTCTCCCACAGAGCCAGGGTTAATTTTGGATGTTATCACAGGAGTATGTGCGCACAAAGAAGTTCCTCCCGTTATTTCCTGGTCGTTGTGCACCTTCCTGCCGCCGCCCTCACAGCAGCCTTAGCCTCATCAGTCCCCAGACTCAACACCCTAGAGCGCAAATGGCATATGATGCATGCACCTATCTGTTTGAGTGGAAATCCGTACAAAATTGTAGAGCACAATAGGTCACAGTTGTTCCATGTCGGCACAAAAGTGACGCTCGTCGAACTGGAATTCTCAGAGCTCCTTCCGCGCACTTTTTTTTCCAGTCCCGTCATCGATACAAGTTATTTGATTTATTAAGATGTCGGCTGAGATATTAACGTCTCGTCGGCGCCAAAGTCCCGGGCGCGCGAAATGAATTACACCGCGCAACCGACTTTTCCAGCGCGGTTCACAGCATATAAACACGAACACCTGAATAGTTATTACGTTGTTGCCACATTATGGGACACAGGCACTTGAAGCGTTTCAATAAAATATAATGCTAACTAAATACGAAATTTATTTACTGCCAAAATTCTTAATGTTTCTATAGGCCTACTCTCTTTCACCTATTATCGCCGATAGTTTCCTACCATTGCATTACCGGCTGCCAATGCTCTCGCGGCGCGACTGTTGCACGCTTACAACAGTTAACGCTTACAACAACTTAAAGTAAGATATATACTCTTCTATCTATATAAACTCTTATATCTGACTCTTATATCTTACTTATATCTTACTCTATATATGAGTGTAAGCGTGCAACAGTCGCGCCGCGAGAGCAATGGCAGCCGGTAATGCAATGGTAGGAAACTATCGGCGATAATAGGTGAAAGAGAGTAGGCCTATAGAAACATTAAGAATTTTGTAGTAAATAGATTTCGTATTTAGTTAGCATTATATTTTATTGAAACGCTTCAAGTGCCTGTGTTATGGGAGAGGAGATTCCCGCGCGCGCCCGGCCACAACACGCGTACGTTTGCGCGTGCGGTCGGGGATGATTGCGCGCGCCGGAACGGCCCGCCCCCGTAGACGCGCAGACTCGCTGTTAGGGTTATATCACACCCCTCACAGCAGGCTATCCCAGAAACCACCGCACCGATGCATGTATGCATGTATGCATGACACATCTATAATATATAATTCTAATAAAGCTTAATAGCCGAATCGGGAGAGCGGCTGGCGTTACTTCTGAAGGTCGTTAGTTCGAATCTGTTTATTTATATTATTTTTTTCTATCTTTTTATTTTTCTATCTTTATCTATTTAACTATTTTTTTCCAATTAACGCAAATATTTACATGATTTATTTACAATAATTGAATTTAAATTTTTTTTTAAATAATTTAATTAAATTTAGTAATGTTATAATTAAATTTAATTAAGGTTAGGGTTAGGGTTAAGGTTAGGGAGTAGGGCGCGTAGGCTGCGGATGGTTTCCGGTGGATAGGACTTGCTGTGAGGGGTGTGACATATAACCTCGACCCAGAACCGCGAGCCGAACAACGAGCCCACGCGCACGGCCACCCACACACGCCCACGCGGCAAACTGCCTGCGCGCCCCCTTCCCACACTCAGGATACGTAGAATTTGAGCCAGAGAGCACACGTAGGAATTGAGCCAGAGGCGAGAGCGCCATCTGTCCGTGGAGTTTGCCCAACGCGGGTCGCGTGATGTGCGACGACTCACGGCAGGCGACCCAAACCCCCCCGACCAAAAAAAATATTTAGTCCCAAATAGGGGCAACACGTATAAGACATTGCTAGCTAGCGGCTCGATATTTCCCCTAACTTCGAATATACCCGTAAGACCCTGTTCTCGTAAACCAACCACTGTGGCAAAATCAGAGAACATACCTACTGATTATGAATAATAACTTTACTGAGCATGATACTGTTGATGACAATACAATTTGTATAACCGTGACAAGCTATTGCATACTGTACGTATGCCATTCTCCGGAAGTGTTACTATTATTCCCTCACGGAGGCCGCATTAATCATGTTACCAGGAAATGGTCGTTGAACACGAGCATTTAACAGCTTCCATTGAGATTTGAAGTTTATGAAATTATGACTATATAGTGATGCTGCATGAAACTAAATCACCCAGGGATGGAAGGATAAGTACTGTGGAATCTGTCAGTTTTTTTCTAAGAATCCGTACGTGAATCTCCTCGGGCTGATCGCAAACCCGCGAGAAGAATACGTAGCGACGATCCACCCTCACATTCGGCGCGCTGCTACCTAATTATAACCGTTAATTGCATAATCACCTCACTAATTTAAATGTCCGTACACTGTATTATACCTCTGTAAAGGCGTAAGGACATGAAATACCTGTAATTGTCGGAGTAGGGTTGCCGCCGCTTACGCACCGATCCCTGACCGTATCGCACTCCGCCTACCGTGCGACGACGTTATTACTATGTTTTGGCTATGCGATTGTGCCAGGGTAAGAGCCTGCGAGCACGTACACGCCAAACCCTAACTCCCACCGCTCCGGGGGCGAGGGGGAGAGTGTGATTTCTCCATGCTCCTGACCAGCAAGGTCTTGCTCTGCACGCCCCCCCCCTCCTGGCACACGCGAACGATAAAGCGCGATCCTAACCCACTGCCTCTGAATGGGCTCCTAACCGCACCCCGCATTCCGATGGTGATTAGGTAGGCGCGGCGTGGGAGCGGGGAGGCCTACGCGGCGAGTCCTGGCGGCAGTGTTCCAGGCGGGCTTGTATCTGGCCTTGCTATTGTGGAAGCAAATCGAAGCAGCCAGATACTACTTTGATCGTACGAAATGCAGGCCACACAGTCCAGGTAAGATTACAAAGTAGCACCAATGTACTCCTTATAGCCGGCCTTGGGGTGACATATGGCGTTGTGCAGAGAGTCAACGAATTTCACTTTGTCCAGCCGCAATATTATGACGCCGGGTGCTGGTAGTGGTGGTGGTTGGTGGGTGGTGGTTTGGATGTTGGGTGGTGTGTGGTGGTGGTGGTGGTGGTGGATGGGATTGGGTAAGAGGGGGGGGGTAAGTGGGTTGAGGTGGTGGTAGTGAGTGGGTGGGTTGTATAGGGGGGGGTCCTTAAGAATCGCCTCGGCCAAGCTATACTGTAAATCCACTATATAGAAATACAGAGCCGCAGAGCGTCTGGGCTCATCTGAGTCTGTTACTAACGGTTATAAACCTAACATTTAAGTCGTGCGTAGTGTACACCTTTGTAGGCGCAGATATGCAGCATGAACGCAGTATGCTGTACACATCATTCAGCAACCTTCTGCATATTGATATACCTCCAAATTCCCGATTTGGTTGATATAAATCGCGTGCACTGAAACTCCTGTTTTAAATTTGGTGCATCTGTGACTGCTATTTTCTTACCTAACTCTAGTTTTATTTTTTTTAAATTGATAGTTAAATGGATAAAAGATAGAAAATACACATGAAAACAGGTAAACTATATACAAACAATCTGGGATGGTATTCGATGCCACAGGACCCTTGAAGCCGTAATCCTGTGCTGTACTCCGTTGGCCTATCCAGAACATCATGGTCCTTCACTAGATGTATGGGATGTGGGCCATGAATATGAGAACGCGATGACTCATTGAGGGCAGATTCAGACCGATCCATGTTTAACCTCCTCTTGAGCGGTCAATAAGGTTATCAACACCTTACTCGTCGCAACGTCAGTGGAAACACATTTTATGGTCCTTTCAAAGGCACAAGATCTCAACCGCTCGACGTACGGCTTGATAATTGTCGCTCGGGGCGGGGGGGGGGGTCGCGAAAAAAACGCGGGCTGGCGAAATTTTGCGGTCAAGGGTGCAAAGCTAAGTGTGTTCAATGGCAGCGGGACATATTCCCCCCCTTAACTTAAGGTACGGGGAAAATACGGATTTGCGGGCACAAATCTCAACGGCGTTAACCTACGCTCTATATTGCGATGTATAGTGTGATGGGGAGGAAACCAATCACCAGCGCGAAAATGTGGAGGTCACAGGTCTAAAGGGCAAGTGGGGGGTGGGAAAGGTCGATACTATCAAGACACTTTCTGAGAAATGGTCTAAGGACCGAGTGCAAAACATTATTGTTTCAGCGCTGACTACTGTTATTTATTCACTTTATTGAAAGGACCATGAAATCTACTTTCCGCTGACGTGCGAAGAGTAATTGTCTGATAACCCTTTGACCCCCAAGAGGAGGGTTAAACATGAATTTGTTGACTGTTAACAAAGGACTGAACTGCTTTTCCTATTAGAGCCCGACCCCCACCCTCCCCCACCACCACCACTACGCTCGCGCTCGACGCATATCCATGATAACATGTTAATATAGCGAAGTCATTAAAGTTACACAGCTGTATCTTTATTACTGTACTACCAGTAGGTATAGCAAAGCCTATCATCGATTTTAAATCTGTATTAGTAGTATCAGGAGTAAGATAATATAGAATATATCTATATTCTATATTATCTTACTCCTGGTAGTATCCTATAAATATATTATGCTCTGAGCGCGAACGCGGTGGCAGGAGGGCGCACTTGATTCGGTTGCCAGTGAGTTTATCAGAAGAATACCTGGCTACAGTACACGTCAGTTGAGCGCTGTCGCTCTGCGGCACTTGTTGTAACTTGTTCCCGTAGTTTATTTTTGGGTTATATACAATTATTTCCTAAGCTTATTTTTTTATTATGCTCCAAAATTGAAGGGCAGCTGCCTTCTTGCCCCCCCCCCCAGAGGCTACAGCCCTGAAGAATTATGAGAGTAATTTATTCCATTTCTCAAGTCAACAAAATTCACACAGGAACATCGGCACCCGTGTACGAAGGTAATGAAATCCACACAGATAATAATGGTTACTTTATTGGCGCTACGCAAAATACAGCGGATATTTGTTATGACAATAAATGGGGACAAAAATAACAGAATTTGTTTAGACCGATGTCATTTCAGTGGTTATAAAAATGTACCATTATCTTAATCATTACCTTTACAATAATGTGGTTTTAACATTGGCCGGATGCAATATGATCTTGGAAATCAGAGAGCATGAGAAAAAATAAAATTAATGTTGAAGCCACTGATTCCATCTTAGGCACGAAGTCACATGAATGTTAACGTTGCAGTTCCACAATTTTCAAGAAAGGTTGGAATTTGAAATCGAATGTGGTTTTAAGTTTTAATTTTAAAATTAAGTCCAGTGTTTGAATTTAAATTTTGACATTGAATTTAGAATTGATTTTGGGTCTTCAAATTAATTGTAAATTTTGCGTTTTATAGTGAATTTTGAAATTAATTCTGAATTTTTAAATTGAATTCGAATTTTGAAATAAATTTAGCAAATTACTTAGGTGGCGTGCATATATGTTATTGTCGAGCGATAATGATTCAGAACACGTGCGTCACTTGATTTAGTCAAGGTGCGCATTAGAGAAAGGGTATTGGCTGCATTGTCTCATATATTGGCTGCCGTGGGATGGTATAACATTAACGTCTAATTCACTATGCCCGTTACTGCGACACAGCGTAACGAGGTGGCTGATCGGATTGAACTTTTCTACAAGGATGCGTGAATTGTGCTAGTTATGCAAGGACTTTGTCCGTATCAATATGATGAAGGTATTTTACATCCAGCTACGTTTAAACGAGAAATGTTCATTTGGAAGAAAGACATGAATAACATTGTCTCTTAAAACGAATGCAATCATTTCCAATTTGCATTTGGCTAAACTGTTGTTTCACTATCTATCTCCACAGACAACCTAGGCTTGAACCTAAATCTGGATAATTCACCATCATCTCCACAATGTGCCGACACAACGACCCTGATGCCGAGTGACAAAACAAAACTCGTTGACTGCAAAGGTTCCTGTTACAAATTTAAATTCAGCGAGAATGGTAAGTCATCTACACGACACAAGGCTAGAACGGAATAAAATGTTCGGATAGATTATTTAATAATTATGTGCATTGCGATATTGTGGCAGTCTTGGACGTAAAAATCTGTATAAGGCATATGCATTGAAATTTGATTAGTTTTCTTTTGTAACATTCATTGATACTCATACCCAAATGCGACATCCCCTTTTCTATTATAGACTCAACATGGGTAGCCAGGGGTTGTTTCCAGATGCCGGTAGAAGAAAAGTGTGAAAAACAAAAGCAGGATAATGGAAACGTGTGGACGTGCGTATGTTCTGGTGATCACTGTAATGGAGCAATCACACATGGCTTCACCCTAGCCGCTCTTCTGCTGACCTTGTTCAGCACAGCTATGCTACTGTAAATTTTTATGTGAGTGTGAGATGTTGTCTTATCGATTTTCGGTGGTAGCCCATTAATAAATATTCTTAATAAATTAATTAACCGTTCCATATGTCAATTATTTACTGATAAGAGGAATAAACGCTTACCATTACATGGTATTAAACGTTGTGTGGTTATTAATTATATGAATTTCGTAAAAAATTGATACGTATCATTTGTTCCTTACGCATAATCCTCAAATATCGGTTTATTGAAAAGATAACACATTTTAGGGTGGCAGTTGTGTACGCTAGATGCATGAATTAATGCACGAGCAATTATTAGCTTTAGTTAGTTATACATAAGGAATTGGAGAGGATATTAGTGAATATTTAATGTTTTGCCTATTTAGAGTGTTAATATCACTAGATTCTTGCATTACAGTATTGAACCTTTCCTAAAGTAATCCAGAACGTCAATGTAATTAATGTTTAAGACCTTAATTTACTCGTGCGTTACAATGAAATACTGTGATGCTGTGAATAGAAAATTTTTAGATTAAAATATCTGAACAGACAAACAATTTCTCGATTTTGATATAAAATTTATTGGCTAGGAAGGCGGTTAGTTTTTCTCTATAAATACTAATATTAGTGGTATGTATGGATAACTTTTATTATATATCATCATTCGTTTGACCTGTGTTTTTGATAGAACATTTATTAAGGAAAAGTTATTGTTCTTCGAAATAAACAATCAAATGATTCATACTCATTCTACTATATCTTTTATGTAATAAATTCTTCAAAAATGACGAGGTCGGGTTAGTTTCGTAGCAATTTAATTTAAAAATGAGATAGAGGGTATAATACAATAATGTAACAATAAAAGATAAACGCGAATATAAAAGCTAAATATCTTTAACGTTATGCGTGACAAAATGCGAATCAATTAAAGTTGTTTATTAGGGTAACACACACCTTCAGTGCTAACTATGCCATTAAGTGATAGGATTATATTTATGTAACATCTAACTTCTAACGATTTTGAAAACCTGTATCACATATTTGCCAGAAGAAATAGATAAAGAAATAGATAAGCGATTAAAATAGTAAACCACATCCACAGCCTATCGTATATAGCATTAATATAGTTTGTTTATGTTACCACAGAAAATTGTCTCCGCAGAAATAATCGCTAGTAGCCATTTGCAAAATTACACATTCTCACGGAAACTTCACTGAAATTTCAAATGATATAAAAACAAACGAAAATCATCTGCACTATCAGCGCCAAGACGCAGTCCTGTTAAGTAGCCCATTGCAATTGCAATTACTGCGAAATACGGAATCATTTGCGAGACGTTGTGACGTGTTGCGTCTTCCATATACCTTCGCGTTTTCTTGCGGATTAAGTTCTACTGCTTCGTCTAAAAATGTTTGTGCTTGCTCGATTTTATCGTCTGTTTACCATTGCCATTTGGTTTTTGACGTGGAAGTCGAGAGGCATGACGATTTTTCATTCTTGTAACTTTACGCTGTTTCTGTCAGCGATTTACGCGAAAAAGTTGGAATTTAAATGTTGAAATGTAGAATGTAGATGTTAAATGCTAAAAGTGAAATTGAATGAATGTTAAGACAAGAATGAATGTTGATGAAGAACAAAAATAAATATCAAATACGCGACAGAACAATGGCACTCCACGACCTGTTATCACCAAAGACGACAGTCAGTGAATATTAAATGGGCGAACAATTTTGTTCAACATTATTATTATAGTGTGATTATATATGAATAAGTAGCCCGGCTAACGGTGCAGCATTTCGTTTGTAGGGTGTCGCCATCGTATCTATAGTGGGATATGTGATTAGAAAATTGCCCACTTTACGAAATTGCGTTCGCTTGCACACGCACGCACGCACGCACACACACACCAACCCACCCACAACACACACACACACAACACACACACACACACACACACACACAACACACACACACACACAACACACGCACACACACACACACACACACACACACACACACACACACAACACACACACACACACACATGCACACACACACTGACATGCACACACACACACACACACACACACACACACACACACACACACACACACACACACACACACACACACACACACACACACACACACACACACACACACACACATACACAAACAAACAAACAAACATACACACACATACGTACGCACGCACGCGCACACACACACACACACACACGCACACACGCACGCATACGCACGCACGCATACGCACGCACGCACGCACGCATACGCACGCACGCACCCATACGCACGCACGCACACACACACACACAACACACACACACACACACACACACACACACACACACAAATATATATAATATATAAATGCTCAAAAGAGGTAGACACGCCTATACATATATGATATCGCTAAATGAGCGTGCAAATACGTGCGTGATGCAGATGTATAATCGCTACTAACACTACTGTACCTATCGACATTTCTGTCAGCAGGAAATTAAAATGCGGCGATGTGTGTCGTTCGCGCGTGGTTGTATTAGTGGATGGCAGAGGTGATGCTCTGTAGCCGTTGTAGCTGGCGGTTATGGTTAATTGGTCATATGTCGTATTCTTAATTTTAACTTGGTTAATTTATCCCTGTTAAATTATCCCCGATCGAACAAATTTGCATTTCATTTCGCATTAGATATTGGTTATAATTTCTAGGCCCTACCACTTTATCTAGCCATGCAGCCAGGAGCCGTGTTACATCATATACCCAGTATTACCAAGCATACCCAATATTATTTGATACCAAGCCAATATTAAGCCGTCCTGTATAATTTATCCACAGGGATCGAAGTTCACATTTCTAACACGGAATGATTAATTATGATTAAGACGACCATCCATAGACGTAGGTATATGACTCGGCCCGTAGACACTTAGTTGCCCGTATCTGAGGTGCGTGCGTACGTGCGCGTCGTTCCGCACCTTTCCTTATGCTTATGCTCCATGCTCCCTCTTCTCTAGCTCCTGGCTATCCTCCTCTAGCCCTCCTTCTGGTCCTCCTTCCGTTAGCGCTCTCTCGCTCTCTGTGCTCTCTCTATAGTTTACTAAGTGCAACATGCTGCAACGCAGGCGCTGACACAAAAAAGGTGTGTCACATATGGCCTTACATCAGATATAGTAATAAGAGAGAAAAAAGGGAGAAATAGAGCCAGGCCAGCGAGTGGGGTCTGTGTCCACTGGATATTGTCTAGTGAATGCTTGACGCGCAACCATGCACATTGAAATTAAGAAATATTTCTACTGAATGAGAAAAGGCATAGCTTTCGAATGGTACAATGCATTCTGAGATCGTAGCATCTCAACTGAATCTCTGAACTCAGTGAGTAGGACCTGTGAACTGGTCGTGGTTGTGCTCTGTTTTAGTATTGGTTTCGGTTTCACAACACCAGCAGCTGATGAGGTGAGGGAGATAAATACTCATCGATTTTGTGTGTGTGTGGCAGCACTGTACAGTGAGTGCTGACATTGTCTGGAATTTCACGAATTGACGGATCTTTTTCGTCTAGGAACACTCCCCGGGTATAGGAAATCACCCTCTAAAAATTGCATCCAGATCGCTTGGGCGGTTTGGCCGGCCATAGGGTACGATACATACATACATACGAACTCAAATATAGATTAGATAGAAGAGAGAAAAAAGGGGGAAATAGAGTCGTTCATGCGTACTGTATGAAATCTAGCTTGCGCGCGAGACTTTTCACAACCATTATGGTATTAACGTGAATAAAATACTGCGTTATTAGTACGGCGTGGTTGGGAGATGTGCTATAAATGCCTATATACGCGAACTAATAGGTATATGTGACGGGTTCGCGCATGCAGCTTCGACCACAGGCACTTGAAGCATATCAACTGTAAGCGCACGGCGCCGCCATTGCGCGTACACTAATACATAGATATAAGAGCCCATATATGAGCCCATAGAGCTCATATATCTATGTATTAGTGTACGCGCAATGGCGGCGCCGTGCGCTTACAGTTGATATGCTTCAAGTGCCTGTGGCTTCGACGATCTGTGTGCTGCAGTGACGCAGCTAATCTGTGACTGGATGAGTCAGTGAGTCACTCGCTCCTGCTGTCGCGCAATGTTTGCACCGTTTATTGCTGACAGTTATACCCTCTAATTCCACCTATTCTACTTATAGGTTCAGGTGGACCGCGGGCTGGCGGGAAAACGTAGTATATAATAACGTATATAACGTAATATTGGGTAATCATAACTTGCCACTTATTTGGCAAATTGATTTCTCCTCCAAGGATAGAAATAGAGACATTCATCGGTTCAGACATTTCTTGAACAAGCTGTTGTAATTTCGTCTATTACTTTTCCCAGTTCAGTGTGATACGTCGAGAGATGCCCGACTGTATGTAGGCACGTGATCGTAGGTTAGATATTGTTTATTCTTCTTGCGTTGTGTTACTAACTGTTCTACTCGTTTCGTGTTTGCGGTGAAGCTTGAAGGAGATGTCAGGTAATGCTCTGTGTTTGATGCAGCGTCGTGGCGGAGGTAACATCAATGATCAAACACAACTCGATGAGTGAAGTTTTCCACGCATAGTAATTTTATTGTCAGCCACAGTACAATCGTGACCAAGAGTCCAGATAAGTGTGTTACCAATGCATATATTTCTTCCCGTCTGTCCGTCCGTCAGTCTCTGAGTCCGTCAGTCAGTCTTTCAGTCCGTCTGTCTTTCCTTTCAACCTCGTCGGTATGCGTGCGTACACAGCGAGAGAACGACACAACCAACGACCAACCCTTTCTTCTTCCGAGTTGTGTCGTATATATCAGGAGTAGATAATAGGGATAATAGAGATAATAGGGATGATAGTCCCTATTATCTACTCCTGGTATATATACAACTGCTGGGTGACGTCATCTTATTTCCTGCATGTGCAAGACCATTCAGTCTGCACGTGCTTAGGCTATCACCAAGGTGTCGGGTTAACCGTATAATATTGAAATGGACTTTACCAAATCACGTTCTACTCACGTGTAGATTTCACATGCGCACTTCCTGTATTCTAAGAGCTTCCACCCCGGTGTTCTTCCCAACAAACATCTGAAGCGTTATCCGGGGTGTTGGCTCATTATACTTTACCATTTTAGTTTTCTGTAATTCTGTAATTACCTACTCTACATATCGACTCAGCTCTGTTACACTGTCTGTCACATGTTTGTCCGCCGTTATGCAGAAGTAAGATCAGTATTAACTTCGGCAAGAAACGCACCACAGTCAACATCATTGTACATTGACATTGTACTAATGGCATTTGTATCAGTGTATTTCAACACCACATTTTCACCTGCATATTTCTTAGTATATTATAGCAATCGACGAAAGTATGTGCCAATCGTATCTCTATTCTCTCTGTAACACTTTCTCTTTATATGCTACCTTATCAGGTTTAAGTAAACACACATCATTAACTGGCTAAATAGATATTACATTAATTTAACGCTATATCGGTGACCACACCTTGAACTTTATATAATCATTATCAAGCTGCCCACCCAAAGGCCGCGAGGCGTCTTTTAAACGGGTTTTCAAATTAATGTGTTCGTTGTTTGTCATCCTGCCAGAGGCGAATTCCGAGGTGATTCCGAGCCGTCAGGTTGATTCCGAGCCGTCAGGTGATTTCGAGCCGGGAGGTTCAAGGAGGTGATTCCGAGGCGTCAGAGCCGTATATAATTATAGAGACGACTCATTACGGAGATTGTACTCATCTGACAAATTGATGTGCCGGTTGTTAGTAAAAATATGGTCTTATGTCTAGACAGGCTAACGCGCATACTACGGACGTAATGCAGCATGTTTTATGTATTGGATCGACCTTGTATACCCCGTATACCTGTAGCCTATAACGTACATGTAACGTACTATAACTGTGTAACTATAACGTGTACTATAACTGTACCTGTAACGTTCAGCATTGCGAGTTTCGCGCTATATGCCCGCCGGGAATTCTAGAGAGACGACGGGGAGCGGGCAGGCTCACGCATAGGAAAGGACGCGTGATATGTTATATTACTCAAGCTAGCAATTCAATTCAACTCAAGCTACGGTATTTGCTGTTCGAGTCTTAGCTCTGCCAATGCTGCTGTGCCATCGAGCCAGGCACATTGATTCGATCAGGAGTCTATCAATAGTTTATTGATAGACTCCTGATTCGATGTCTCGGAGAGGGAAGATACTATCAGTCACAGGACAAGGCATATCTAGCACGTTCAACCTGCTATACCAGGGTTACGGACACCCATCGATAGGTATTTGACATACCAAACAACTCATTTGCGTGTGATTTTACGATGCCTTTAATGATGTGATGATAATGATGACATCATATATGATGACATCATTATATGATGATAATGATGACATGATAATGATGTGCCTTTAAATGTGTAATTTCACCAAGATTTTAGTTTAGCTTAATAATAATCCTGCTTCATGATGCAATATTGGGAAACATTAAGATAAACATTCTTTATTTTTATCACTGGGCGCTTTGTAATTAAAACAGAGGAATATTGGGATGCAGGTTTTTTTCATTAAAATGATAGCGCGTATAGTTTCAATAAAATATCTTTGTTTTGGTACTGCTGAGGGGTATACGCGAACATAGAGCTTATACCCGATGACACAGTATAGGGTGTTGTGTATATACATCTGAGAAGATTGGGTGCCTAAGAATGAGCCGAAACACATTAGCTCTTTATATAAAGATGAACATGGACGGAGAGGCTGCATGGGCGTGAGAAACCCACAAAAAAATCTCCTCGTTTATCTCCACTGCCCGTAGTATTGTTGACAAATCTACGATCTAGAGGAGCGGTAATCTCCACGCTGATTGAGAGCATTCGCTACTCCATCCGCGAAAACCGGATGCATCATTTCCTGGGTGCAAATCCGAGAACTACGCCTGCAGAACCTATTCACAGTAAACGCGTGCACAGTATAAATACGGCCATCAATCGGATGTGTGACTCCCTGTGATAAACTCCACAGAGTAGACCCATTTTGTATTTAAACGTTAATGTTTACATATCAATAGGCGTCAACGAACACTGCTGTTGATTTTGGTTCGCGTGCAAGATGATGAGCGCAAAACAAGCGAAGATTGATGCCTACAAGGCAGAGATCGAGCAACTAAGAAGAGAGACACACACTCACCGTACGCTTGTGTCTGTGACAGTAGCCGGGTATGTATAGTTCTAGTGATATGTGCAGGAGTAAGATAATATAGGATCTATAGGATATATCCTATATTATCTTACTCCTGATATGTGTACAAGCGGGTATCGTGGTATTTTGTCATATGTCCTTTAGAGGATGACCACCGAGGCACCGACGCGAGACATAAGTCGCGTTCACACGGTCATGGTTTGGCTCGAGCCAAATGGGCTAGATTTGGCTCGGGCCGGTTTGAGTCGGAGCGTTCACACGTACGCAAGTGAATACTGTCTGTCAAATTCAAATTCAAATTCAAATAAATTTTATTGCACAAATATCTCACAGATACTTTGGCAGTATGTCGCGAGATGGCGTTGTTTACGATTCAGTGTTTACTTACGTTCCGAATTTAATTATCAATCTTGAAAACGTGCATCCTGATCAAATTTTTCGAATTTTTATACTGTTTTGGACTTTATTTCGTCGAAGGCATCTACCGCTCAACCGATTCTACCGCTCTACCACTCGCCGAAAACTGGTGCTAAAATTTGGCTCGGGCCTGGTCCGACGTTTTCGATGGGACCAAATCTGGCACGGGCCTAATTAGGCTCGGGCCTAAAACGTCCGTGTGAACGCGCCTTATAAGGCCTGTCGTCTAAAATCCCTCGCTGTAAGTTAGGAGTGCTGTATCCCACGACTTAAACAGCTTGATATTTGCAGCATCAGATAGCACCTTTGTATAAATTTTGAAATGATGGAATTAATTAAGCTACACAGTGTTTAATCAAATTATAGTGGCGAAGACTCACAACGATGATACAGAAAGTAACGCCGATACGAAAAAAATTACCGCAGTGTAGTCGATTTCTAAGAAATACACTGGAAATGGAAAACCAATGTTAAGTACATCTAATGTGTAAATTTGGAAGGAATGAATAGACATTTTTGGCACGGTGTACGTATAACAAACCTCGGACCTCTAAACCTCAAACCGGTCACCTGTCCAAGGATCGATACCAGAAAACATGTGAAAAAACGCGAAGCAGTCATTTGAAGCCCTTTAAATCTTCAATTTACTTATCCTCCTACAATTTTAGTATTCATTAGAGGCCAGGAATCGTCTGAAGCACTAAAATGCGCCACTGGACCAACACACACACACACAACTGGTGGATTTTGACCGCCCTCTTGGTCTATTCCCGAATCCGCCAATGAAACGTTGGTAGTACAATTTGTCTGGGGTATACCCAGCTTGTATGCGCCTAGCTTGCACACATGCACATACAACGTACACGCATTGCGCATGCGCATACCAATGCTTACTTTGATGAGGGTCGCTCGCTCTAACGATTTCGTGATAAGGAACACTGATCATGGAGGTAGAATAATCCACTCAATTAATTATCTAGTTTCTAGTTCTAATTAAGATGGTTTAGGTAACTTTTCTCTACTGAAGATGTCCTGTGTTTTAATCCATGCAGCTTGCAGCAGCACTGCGAGACGCACGCATCTGAGGACTGGCTTCTTGGGAATGGAAACCCTCACGACAACCCATTCAAGCCTCTGAGGCCCAGTATACTTGTGTCGCCGCCATGCACCGTAATCTGACGACCGTTCCTGACGTTACCATCGGTACATTTGATTCATGTAAAACACCACACACACGCACGAACTGCACAGCATCGCACGCACGCACGCATGGACACACTACACACAACACATCACAACACACGCATGCACACCACACAACACACAATACACATCAGTCACACCACACACACACACGCGCGCGCAACACACACACCACACAACACACACCACACACCACACACCACACCACACGCACACACACACCCACAGCACCACACACACACACACACACACACACACACACACACACCACACACACACTACACACCACACACAACACACACACAACAGCACACACCACACACACACTCACACATATATATATAATTATATATACTATATAATAAGTATATATATATATATGTATATTTCAGAAGTCAGATAATAACATGATGAGTGTTATTATCTAACTCTTGCCATACTATTGGATTATAAAAACTGCCAACACGACCGACAAGTAATAAGCTAAGATTTTGCATTCAAATTCGTCGCGGTTTTAATGAATTTTCTTGCGAGTAATATTACATTCATAATACGCCAGGTATGCACGCTTCATCTATTTGTAGCGCCAACGATCAAAACTGACAATCGCATACTTTCGTGACGTTCAACGTTGGCAGCCGCTATTCTTATCGAGGAGGCACACTCTTCAACGA